CCAGACGAAACATCGACGTGACAAAATATCGACGAGACAAAACATCGACGAAACAAAACATCGACGAAATTAAATGTCGACATATCAATTTAATTTTTTCGGATTTTTTTTTTGAGATCGCTAATATTACACAACTTCCTTGGGCCTTGCTGCGATCGTCCATCAATCCAGGATGACCGATGGAAGATAGCTTGAGGATGGCATCGTGGCTTCAGCAAGCATCTTGCGGCTAATTATCCTTCTACAGGATCTTTCAAAAGTCACGCAACCCGTCATGTACAATGTTTTTTGAGCAACTTAAATTGAGTTGAATTAATCAAAACTGGCTTAATATAAAAGGAACACATCTTACCTATGAAAAAAAGTGTAATAGCAAGTTTTGGAAGTGACCATCGCGTTCCTGCAAGCACATTACGACACGCTTGCGCATGTTCGCGTTCAACATAGTGTAAGGTCGCACGAGTAATGCGGGCAATGGCCTGTGCAATGTTATGCTTCAACGTTTCCAAGTCTTTGGGATTGTTAGCGTATACTCTTTCGTTAAGGTATCCCCACAGAAAATAGTGAGGTCTGGAGATCAGAGATTCTTGCTTATGAGCGGTTGCTCCATCTTGTTGAAAGCACGAATCACGTTCGTCAATTTCTATCATGACGATATATTGCTGAATGATGTGTTGATAATGTTCAGCATTCCCAGTTTCTGTGAAAAACACGGGACCAACAATACGTAATGCAAGAGATTATGTGTATATATTCCAACAGAAACATGCAACAGCACTTGTTTATATATAGGGTTGCGCGACTTTAGAAAGACCCTGTATATGGAAGTTCATTGATTGTCTCAAGAATGAATAGAGCCTGAATTAACTTAGGATGGAACAGTATATTGCATGACATGACCCTCCTCCGAGCCGCAAAATTAATCGTCAATGCTCTCTCGGATAAATACTATTGTTTTGGATTATTAGCAGCGACTACTGAAAGAGTATTTACAAAGGATTGCACAAGATTTCAATCTCCAGGTGTAACGCTGATCTGCTACAGTGTACCGTGCAACGACAGGCTCCTCTTTTCAATATGTTCTTCTGTTCTCATCGTTTACAAAATGCGATACCTTATTCTAATTCTTTATTCTTTTCATTTCGTCTCTATTGACGTGGTTTGAATTCCTTTTAATTTAATGCGTACGTATCAATAAAATGTAAAAAATTCGGTACTTCCATTAAAAGATTTCACATTTCTCTCTTCATTACAAAATTTCAGCTGTACCATATATATATGTATATCCTGTGATCTACGAAATTTGCCCAATTGCTTTTCTATTTCAACCGTCTTTGATGAGAAACAAACTGCAAATGGGCAAATTCACTGTACATTATAGGCGTATGAATAGTTCCAAGGTGCTTGCTGAAGCCACGATGTCATCTTCAGCCTGTCTTTCATCGGTCATCCTGGAATGACAGATGATCGCAGCAAGGCCCTTCGGAAGTTATGTAACACTAGCAATCTCAAAGAAAAAAATCCGAGAATAATAAATTGGCATGCCAACATTTCATTTCGTCGATGTTTCGTCCCATCGATGTTTCGTCTCGTCGAGGTTTTGTCGCTTCGATGTTTTGACATGGCTTTTGTTCAAGCTCTTTTCAATTCGTGGAGCATAAGCCCCACATGTTTTTGACCTAGCAGTCAACTCAAGGTTGATTAGACTTGTCCATAAGGATCTGATCTGAACTGTCTGTGATATGTCCCTAAGGGACAAGTTGTCCAGGAAGGCAGCTGGGCATCCAACCTTTAAGCCACTGACCACTCACATTTCCTTTATGGTCTACTCTTAAACCTAAAAAATATTGAACCCTGATCAGGTTCTACACAGGGTTGGCCTGTACAAGGCGCCACAGTACACTGTCAATCACGGTTATAAATAGTGGGCCGCATTTCTAAAAACTGAACGTATGCAGGAGAGGCACGAACTGATTTTCGGAAGATGCAGATCAGGTGTAGCTGCTGATCCGATTCTGAGCAAAAATAACGAAGACGACACCACGCGAAATGGATGCAATTCATAATCTTCAGATTCAAGTTCGATGATTAGACGAAGACGTTACATGAAGCAAGATGCCCTCGATCATTTCTTATTTAAATCCATGGCTGATGAAATCCAATATGAATCCTGAGCCCAGCGACGAACCCCGACAGTGCGATACAAATCATTTCAGCCGGAAGACAGAAATAGCACTGATCTGACTCGATCTCGCACTGATTCGCAGACTTGCGCTAGTCTGAGTCGATTAATTGGGGCCTATTGCGCCATGTGCCAGTCTTCTCCAAATGAGAAGGAGAAGACCCAGACACCTCCAAATATTCCTTGTCGACGAGATTTGGATTGAATGGTAAAAGTGACGCTGAAACGACATTGGCATTCTCTAAACACGACGCAGTGACCCCAGTGTAGAACCACTTACGGACCCCTCCTCATCATCCTTTCCAGAATCTCATGGCTGATCTCACGGCTAAACATTAAATTGGAAGAGAAAGACTCCACGCAAAAGTTAATATGAATGAAGCATCCTTCCAGCTTTCTACGTCCAACCCTTTCTGGCGCAGGCGATGACAAGCAGAAACAGCGGGCATTAGCGTCGGGAGGGGGGGGGAGGGCCAGAGTGGGCACGTGCCTCCCCCCCCCCCTTTTTTTAAGAAAAGAAGCCAAACAAGAATTTAAAAGATCCATGAAATGCACTAATCAATGTCCCAGACTTCCCGTGTCGTCCCTGCTAAGCTTATACGCAGAAACATACATATAATGCCTCTGTACCGGGGATCCGTGACGAGGTTCCAGAGGATCCGCTAAACTATGCCCAGGCCAAAAATAAATTACGGGGGGAAACTCCGGAATGCTACAATTTTAACAGGTGTGCCAACCTTAAAAATAGTTTTCAAATTTCTAGCACTAATTCTCGAAGCATATAAATGTACGCAATAAGTTAAGGGGGTCCGCTCAGTTCCCTCTATTCCAAAAGGAGTCCGAAGCTTGAAAAAGGTTGAGAACCATTTATATCAGTGGTGCACAACCTTTTCCCCCAGAGGGCCAAGTTGAGATTTCGGCTCACGTTCGAGGGTTCGAGGGCCGCAGGCCCTCGAACATGAGCCGAAATAGGCAGCATATAAATAAGGATCTTCAGAGACTGGAGGCGTCCAAGGGGTCGCAAAAAAAGGTATTCGCGGGCCGCGGGTTGTGCATCATTGATTTATATAATACGTTTGCGAGATCCACACTTGCACCCCTCCCAATGCGCTTGGATGAAAACAGCCTCCGCCCAGATGCGTAGTCCTCCTGCCTTCCGCCAGATATCCAAAGTTTAAAAGAGAGATGGCGCGAAAGTGGCGCCTCGTCCTTAACTGAACATGCCCTTGTGCTGTGAATTCAAAAATTTTTTCTTTTTTTATTTAATTATTTTTTTGGATGAACCATAAACAGTCCAAGCGAGAGGTTTTGCTGGGAGATGGCAACAAAAAAAACGATAAGGGTACACAGTGATGCATTGTGCGAATCAAGGTCACGCTTTCAAATCATCCTCTCCGTGAGACCAGGAAATTAAAGAGTAACTATCATACTTCAATAATTGGAGAACTTAAAAACCGTTCAACCCGTGACAAGAAATCTATTATTGATGCATTACATTCGAAGGAATCCTTCTGAGGAGTTGCGAAAAGGGTGATGACTCGTGATCGATTTCGATGCGTGAGCACGAACGAGGAAGTGAATCACGTCCCCCTCTGCCCGTCATGATAGCTCCATATTATATCCTGTTTCCCCACGAAATACACGATAGCGACGGGGTTCCACGTTTCGGAGAAGATAAGAATCAGATCCTACACCTTCCTTTCCGCGATTTCCTTCCGAGATAGTTGGATTCACGCAGCCCTCCGAAGTGTGTTCGAGAGATTTCCAAGACGTCATCTGCATGTTGAAGGTCAAGAGTATCCAGAGATTTTCGCGAATTCTGATTCAAGCTCGACATTCAAATCCAACATGGAACCTTGATTTCTATCTCTGAAAAATGAAGTGCTCATCGCCGGAAACGAAGCTCCGTCATTTTCCCCGGAAATTATGGAGGGTTCGCCGGTACTAATCATCGCATCAATGCATTTCGGTGATGACCTCCCTCTTATTCCCCCCCCCCTTCCGTAGTGATAAAAAAGGTCGCTGCCAGTCTGGTGAGACCGATGTAGACACCGTAATTTGCAAATGAATTTGCAGCACCTCTGACATGCACACCATGCATTTGAATACCCCATGCATTTAACTTGCACTATGCTGGAAGACCCCTCGCCGAACCAGAGATGGCAGCCACTCTCGGCTTCTCGTATTATCGATTAGATTTTGGCCGACAACTGATCCCGCGGTAATGCAGAGCCTACCCAGACGAACCATGACGTCGGTAAGAAGGCCAGGCAGCCTTATGAAACAGACTCTAAATGAGTCCATCCACATTCTCAATATGTCAACACCCAACCAGCCATGTCCGTCCTCGGTTCTGTTTGCAAGTTCGGAGCAGCATCTTTCAGCGGAGATCACATAAATCTCAACGTCAAGACTGGATGAAATATGTAACCTTCCTAGCTCATCGTCAGATGCGTTCGCGAAGCAAGTCGCCCGAAGATCTGGCACTCCGTCACGATTCCAGCCAGCCACCACACGGCAAGATACATATGGATTGCTGGAGCCTCGCGAAAGCGACGTCATCACACCAGCCGACTTGAGTCGCGAGCGCACCCTAAGCCCTAACGAAATGTTTCACCGGGTGCAATAGCATCTGCAATTTCCCGTCCGTAAGATCCAACACAGAGTTGATGTCATACGAAGTTTAGTTTTACTCTCGTTTCCCAACAAGGCAACGACAGTCAACAATTGAATGCCAAATCGCACGAGCTGGAAATTCTTAAATTAGGAAACCTATTCAGCTGTTCCATTCTCTTTGAAAATAATCGAGAGCACTCACGACAGGGATGGCGTTTTCCCGGAGCTGAATCCTCCCAATGGCCGGGAGAGGACGGAACGCATCCGGATGGACGCTACGGAGCTGACAGAGTGGAAACTGAAGATCTCTCACGTGACTTCCATTCATAGGAAGGAAGGAATCGTTGTGGATCTCTCCAAAGTCGTTCCCGCCGATATGAAGACGGAATAGATTCGGCAAGACGGCAGGACTCAAGGCGACCGTAACGTCCGAGAGGGTCTTAAAGTGATTTTTCACCATGAACAACCACTCCAGACCGGTGAGACCCCGAAATGCGTTCGGATCCAGCTTCACGAGGACGTTGAAACTTAGGGTCAGATTGTTAACCGAAGAGAGGCCCTGGAAAGCCCCCGGCTCGATTTCTGCGATCTCGTTGCTATGGAGATCTATGTAGATGAGAGAAGTGAGGTTCTCGAACGACCCCGGTTTCAGCACGGGGAAATTCGCACGCACGATTTCCAGGAAAGTCGTGTTGGGCAAGATGAGGTGAACGGGCACGGCACAGCACTCCGCACCCGTGCAATACGTCCCCGGATTCCCTTTCACATCCGTAGTTCGACATCGGCACAAGCACTCTTGAGTCTCTCCTTCTGCTTTCGTGAATGGAACCACAAAGAGCAACGCGACGAGGAGACACACGAGCATCTTCGCTCTCCAACTGCGTATACAGACTAGACTGTCAGCCTGCTTTCCCCGGGGGTACCTGTGAGACTCTACACTACGCAGCTCTCCGCTCTCCTCTCCAATGACCTCGGGATGAGAGAATGGGATGGTGGCTGGAGGGGCGAGGCTTGTTGGAGAGCGGAACGGTTCTAGAGATCACTGGGGTCTTATTCTCGGAAAACCCTTCGCGTAGAGCAACTACCGACCTTCGTATCCGTCAATACTTCTCAAGGTCAAACGTTCTCTTTGCTCCTCCTTTATCTCACTACTGAATTCTGCACGGTCATTAAAGCCATATCGCCTGTCTGGCATTTCGTCGACACGAAGATGCACGGTCTTTTCTCGCAAGCCCATAGGCGATTCTTCGATAATTGCGTTGACGCTCACTCGTCGCTGGGATATCAGATGAAGATGAAAAACAAGCACTCGTCTAGCTTCACACTGGCATGCGTTCGGGTCAGTTGAAATGGATTGGAGAAGAGGACCGGCCTCGCATGGAATATGTGAATATGAAAATGAAACGAACGAATGCGACTTCCGCAAACGTGAATGGTACCAAGGGCGTGTTTCCGCATCCACGTTGCATCAAGATAATGGCAGGAGAAACACTTGCGGAAATACCAACCGATCACATCATCACGTGATCGCCGTCGACGGAGACTCAGAACTCCGAATTTCGTTCGGGAAAAAAAAAAAACGTTTAAGAGGAAAGGAGGCGAGAAGAATCGAGAATGGTAAGTGATAGTTGAACGATCACACAACATTACTGTCACGAAATTATGCACTGCATGAAACGTTGCTGCAATAAAACATAATCAGCGTCGTTAAATAAATCTCGACTAGTTGAATAAAAGTGTCAACGGGCTCGATCGCTTTGGTGCGCCATAACAGTTACTTGCCAAAAACATATTGTAGCCACTAATGTGACTTTCATATTTATTTGATTGCAAATCTGTCGAAGGGACTCTCGGTGCCATCCAGGAGCCACAATGAAGTGGTGAATCCTTTTTGTTGCCCATATACTGGTGGGAATCGTTCCTGAGAAGTCCCAGAATCCATAAAGAATGGCATCTAACAGCTGCGACTTACACGCCATCTTACTCCAGCTTCCGGAACCTTTGTTCCATTCCAGGGACAGTCAGATGACAAGCCTGCTGCTCATTCATCTCACACTTTCACCAAGGATTATTTGCAAATGAGTTCGTACCATCTTTTACATTGAGAAAATTATTTCCATAAAAGGAAGCGAGCGTAGATCGTGTGAATGTCGAGTGAAAAAAAGCGAAATGAGGCTGACGGAGCCCAAGAATTCATTCGAATACATTAGTATACGAATTCATTAGCCTAACATTGTTCTGCACCGATCGAGTCGAGTCCATGGACACTTTCTTTATACAGCGTTTTTCACTCTAGTCAGACGATTTCTCGTTCGACTGGGACACCTGTGCATGGAATGTTCCTCATGACCCCATCTGATGAGATTTAACACTTTTGGGCGCACTTTCTTATTGGAACGATTAACAAACAAAATTAAGGAAATACGAGCATTAAATATCAGCATGAAGCACAGGTTCAAAACGGGTGAAGTTCAGTGTTAGGTTTTGTTGCCTTGAGAGTTTCTCGATCCTTCCCACAGACGACCTTTGTCCGTTGAGAGCACTTCCACGAAAAAGGAGTTATCTCCATCCCGTAGACGCGCAGACGACGACGATCCACGAAGATGATCTCGCTTGCGGTTCACCTTCACGCGTGCATATTCGAATGCGGAAACATGCCCGTAGGTTATTCTGAAGTCGGCGAACCGGCACTTATCGGCCACGTTTCTCAATCCGGGACTCGCAGGAAATCCTCGGGGATTCCCGAAACCCTGACCTACTGTCGGGGGAATTCCCAAACCAATGTCGCGCCTGAGTTCAGCCATTTCACTTTTCTTTCGATTCGAGTTTAACGGAGCCTAGAATTCGCGTTCGGTCTGTAGTGAAGCTGCCTCCGAGGGTTGCAGTTCGTTTTGGCCTTCGAGATGAACGACATGCACCTCCGATTTCCTCCAAATATTTTTTTCCTGTCATAATTTGTCATTTGGCGAGGGGAAACTTGAGTTACCGATCGATAACAAACCTTGAAACAACGTTATTTAGAGTTAACAGAGAGGCGAACGAATGAATGCGGGAAATTTTCAAATAGAAATAAATTCTTACATGGGGGATTTTATGTAGTCTACGAGAAGATCGGCGACTCCATGAATTGCTTGAAGAACTCAACTTGTCATCATTGCTGAATATGTAGCTAAAATTTTTCTACAGCGTTTATTGAGGACTTCGCATGTAAGTGATGAGTGCGGATTCGCGAAACGTCTCGGGAATAAGTCATGGTACGTTTCAGCAACGTTGCGAAGACAAACGCTTCGTGAACTTTTTTTTTCGAGGAAAGTCATGAATCTCCAGTCGGAATTTTCTTAAGACTTTATAAAATGTTGATTTTTTGATGCCATGGTCATGAAGCAGGAACGATGATACGACGCAACAAGAGAACATTGGAACAAGGTAACCGATGCGCAAATCTGGTGCGCTGGTCGAGTAGGACTTGCTAGCCCTTACCCGTTCGACACGACGAAGTCGCATCAACACTGGCAAAATGATGAAATGTTGAAGTTGACAAGTCGGTGAAAGAATTATTGCAATGAAATGCCGGCTATTCGAAATTAACAGCATTTTCGACACCTGCGAACCACTCGAGGGTTAGCGAAGTCGTGTAGAGGGTGCAAATAAGTGCAAATTCATTTTTCGCATTTTCCTTTACCGTAGCTTCGATGCGATTTAGTCATCACGTTTTCTCAGCGGAAAATAGTTTCTAGCAAGCAACCGACGCGAGATGGCGCCTAACCGCCGATTCTGCGATTCCATCCTCGTGTCACAGGAATGAGTTCCTTGCATCTTACAAAAATGATACGGCACACTCGAGACTCTCTCCTTGGGAAAGGGGGAGAGGAGGAAAGGGGGGAGGAAGGGGTAATCCCGAAAATTTTCGCTTGAACAAAACTATTCTTTTATTCGCGTTATAAATGGTACTGGATATAGGAAATTTTCCATGGAGGATCTTTTGGAGGAAACCAGTAATCTCTCTTTTATTAATGTTGCTAATCTAAAATTTGCAGTGACGTCACATGACCGAAAGTAACTCGACGCCACGATGGAAAATACTTCAAATCCTAAGAAGGTGCGATCGTTGAAGTTGACCGTTTCGAATCGATCGATCGTTTCTCGCATCGTCGAGCGTCAAAGGCACGACCGTTGCGAATGCGGTGCCGGATGGGCACGGATCGCATCCCGTTCGTCGTGTCGACGTTGAACGAGAATGGATTTTTCAACTTAGCAATGTTGCCACAACTTACAAGGTCGTTTAAGGTTGATTAAATATCACCGAAATGTCTAACAGTAACACAGTTCAACGTTGAAAATACGCCCGTGTCACGATGCATCACGACGTGTCACGTTGTGCCAGTATCGACTCGTGAACGTCTTGGCTGCGCCCCCTTTTTCCAATCATGAAGCTGCGCGCGTATATTTGAAACAGTATATTTGAAAACTTCTCTTCTGCTTTTGAGAGCTTGAAAGTACTCCAGCAGATCTTACCATCCCACGGTTGACTCAATTTGAGGTTGTAACGTCCATTTCTAAATCCTAATGGAATCTAATCCTAATTGAATGACAAACCGGCACCATCTCCATATTTGTTTCATTCACAAGAGAAAAGCCAGATAAACCCTCGCAGGTCGACATGTCACGTAGCGAAATGGGAAGTTTCGGCATGTTTCCTCATACCCCCAGGGCATGAGTGCCAATGCCTTCCCCTTAGTAGCTCAGTATGAAAAATACAGTGGACTCATTCCGTTGGCACAAGGATGAAGAATCTCTAAATCGGCAGTTTGGCGCCACCTCGTGTCCGTCGGTAGAACCCATTTTTCGTCGAGAACGTGCTCACGATTCACGCATCGGCAACGTTCGTTCGTTTTCGTTATTCGAGACAATGTGGATAGCTCCGGCCTCAAAACGACTTCGCTAGCCCATGCGAAGTCGGAAAACGTTCGCGAAAAGCCCAAATGAAAGTGCGGTTAATCTCGAATAGTCGGCATTTCCTTGCGGTTGCTTCTTCGCTTCCTGTCAGTTTTGGCCGTGTCTCAACCTTTTGTCAACATTGACACAACGTTGTTGTGCTGCATGAGATCGTGTCATGGGATACGTGGAGGTGCTCGAGTGTTGTTATTCGACAAAATGGATGCACAAGACGACACGACACGACTTTTTTTCACATCGACGACGGTGGTCCAAGATCGGTCGGTATCTGAGCAAAGCAGACTCACTTCTTTTTCTCTATTGTTTCTCTCCTTTAAACATGTTTACATAGACGACTATTTGCTTGCTTGCGTCATCCCTCCTCGTTGACTATCTGTCAGAAACGTTGCCAACGGCCAATCTTGCGTCGTGCCCGTGGGAAAAGGAAGCGGCCGAGTTGGCGATTTTGCTCTTTCAAGAAAGAACGAAACCGCTTACTCCACAGGCCAGCGCTGCTCTTTCGTTGAAGGCGTCAAATGTGAATCGACTTTAGAACGATCTCAGCATGTACCCCTTCAATTACGATGAGTTTTCTTCTTGAGCGCTGACAGCGCGCCATATAACGTAATCGCGCCGATCGCATCGGGAGGAGGGGGAGGAAGGGGGGATAGGAGGGGAAGGAAGGGAGGATAGGAGAGGGGGGAAGGAAGGGAGGATAGGAGAGGGGGGAAGGAAGGGAGGATAGGAGAGGGGGGAAGGAGGGAGAGGAGGGGGGATGGAAAATGCCCACTTGGTTGTCTTTGATCGTTGCCATCTGTAAGCACCAGGAGCGCAGAGGACATAATATCCCTCTCTGTGGGTAGAAGATAAAACACATCCTGACAGACCGAATTATGGCATATAATCATGTATTTCCTGTTTAAAATCGCAAGAGCAGAATAATGAAAGAAGTAACGCTCTTGCATGCGGGAGAATTCCCAGTGATTATAGAGAAAAACAGTGAATTTAGGCGAGATGAAGCTTTCTTGTCTCGACTAACGACTTTCCAAACGAATGAGCATCCCTGTCATTGAGGTACGTCCTGTGCGCCAGTTGCCAAGTGAATCCACTATATCATATTTTGGCCCCTTACTTGAATCTTCATTCGCAAGAAATACGTGGTTGAGTTTCGATCCGATTATCCCATGCAATTCCCAGTGAACATGTGAACGAAAAGCAGGCCTGACTCTTCCCCCACCCCATTTCCGTCATGTCTATTAAGTTGCTTTGCCTGCCACGGCTCGAATGGCTTCTTCGGAGGAGCTAGCCGATATTATTCTTAAGGCACAGGTCCTGCAATGAGAGAAGAAATCTTTTAATGTGGAACACATTGAATCTTGTAAGGTTCATTGAAGAAATGGCATAACACAGCTTCCATGGCAATGAGGGGCAATAAATAAGATTTTAAAAATCTTCAACAAGTACAGAATAAATAAATGAGATAGAATTTAAAAAGAAAAACAAAGGAGGGCTTTGGTCTCATCGGGCTGGATACGAAGGAGTTGATTCATCTTTCTCTTAAAGCCATTTGTTTCCAATGCAGCATTCAACGCTCACGAGTAGATGGTCATGAGGATCATCTGAAACCAGAAACACATTTTCAGAGTTAAATCGTTACCCAAAAATTCCCAAACGCACAATGTATATATATATATATATATATATATATATATATATATGCCAAAACAATACAAAGAGCGCGTAATTGATCATGGAGGCTTACTGTTTGCTCAAGCACAACAATGATTATGGAGTGTGTGATGTATGGCTTTACACGATGCCCGGGCAAGTTACAAGATGTGCAGGGGTTCTAATGAGTGCACGATCCTCTTGAATGCCCATGATCACGTCCTGATGCTGAAACCCTGACCTAACCCTCACCTCCTTGAACTCCAAATAACCCTCATACAGTAACCTGTAACCCTCCTGTAAGACGTCCACATGCATCTCCCCATGTAACGCTGAGTAGCCAAGGGTCTCCCTTCCGAACGCAGGAAATAAACCTTCGACGCAGTTGGGGTCTTAACATGATCTGACAAACGTTTTCCAACGTACGAAATTCGGAAGATGCTTCACCTGCGATCACCTAAGTTTCACGGATATTCGCACTTAGGTTCCATGTTTGTTAACCTTCAATTCGCTTGCATACGTCGCTCATGTCCTCTACCTATGAAACTTAAATGAAAAACAGTCCTAATTTTAATTAAATCTCGTGAAAGCACATCGACTTCACACTTTTTCATAGGAAGCCCACAGGAACAGAACCGTGTCATGTCATGTAGCAGTCAGCTAGGGCGGGTCCCATGCTGCGAGAGCCAATATATATCTACCAAACGAGCCATTCACTTTTACCAAGAAAAAAAAAAAACACTACGAGGGGGAATACTTCCTACCTCTTCCAGGGACAAGGGGCTCCCTTTCATCTTGCTGTCGATACTGTGGTATCTCTCTGCAAGACAATATATATATATACATCTCATCATGAAATCGAAACAAAAGCAGAAAAAAAAACTAATTCAAAACACGAGTCATAAAAAGTGCCTTTATCATTGCGTCAGTCATAAGAAAGAGCATTTGGAATAAGATGAATGCGGTCGTAGAGGAGGAGTCTCCTAGCACGACCGTGGTCAAGGCGGAGAAGGGGGGCAGGCCGTGGGGGAACATCGTGGTGGGTCTTATCCATCGTCTGTACCAATCTTCTTTCATTTCAAATTCCGAATTCATGCCCATAAACCACTCGAGGGACTAATGAGCACAGATTAACCCTTCTACGTACTGGTATGTGCCTATGACAAAGGGAAAAGTAGCAGGTAGGATTGCATCATATTTTGCATTCTGATCATGCTTTCATTGTTGGCAATTTTTGAAAATTGGCAGGTCCGAGACGTCTATGGTTGGAGGGAAAGAAGGAGCATGGGTCACTCCGCGTCAAAATGACTAACTTGGCAAGAGTATGCTGGAGGATCTCGAAATATGGTATTTAAAAAAGTATGTCAATTGGGGTCTACTCCGACACAAAACCACCAGCAAAGAAACTAGATAATCCGTTTTCGAAGGCCATTCCCCCCTCCCCCTTCGGGAGAGGGGGGATTTATGACCAAACTTCACACCTTTATACGGTGCATTTAATGAACTATTGGTCGTATAATTCCAATACCAAATTTATCCACCTTAAAAAGACAAATCCGAATATATCATGCTTATTATTGAATTTTTCCAGAATTTCACACACGATATTTTTAATTTGTTACCCCAAAATCTTTCTGAAAATCTTTCCGTGTGAAACTAGGGAACAAAACCCAAGTCGGAGCAACTGTTAAAGTGTGCGAGTCCAACTAAAGTGGCAAGAAGCAGCCTTCTCAAAAGAATCACACATTTCTTCTTTTTTTTTTCAAATCAAAGTTGTGGAAGTGATATTCTTGGCAATTTTTTAAACATTGTATTTGATCAAGTGGGACATTAGTTAAGGCTCCAATTAATATATATTTGGAAAGCTTTTAACGTGTGCTTTCGGACTCAGTCTCGGAGTCTCCGGTACGAAATAATATCCCCACGGGTGGTCAAAAAGAGTTCCCAACTTTCCATGGCTATAGACGGACCATTACACGTGGCATCGACAGGGAAGTTAAAGGACGTCATACTCTACACGTTTAGATGGTGTCACTTAACTGTCAAAATTATGGAGTGGAACCTGTCACATCTTTTTTTTCGTACACTGTCTAATGAGGAATTGTGTTTGTCTACGCCTGGCTGGTCAGCTGGACAAAGGGACGTGACCGATCGTGCCTAGGGGAAGCAGACGGGCCAAGCATGCTGACTCGTTTTCACGCGGTATGACCGGCATGCGAGTCGCCTTGTCGAAAGATTCATGAAAATCCGCATATTTCTCTGAGATTATGGATAACTGAAAAATGATCAGGACTCCCGCAAAACACGATTTCAATACTTTCATCTTCTCTCACTGGGAATTAAAATGTTTTTTATAGCAAGGTAAAACTGGAGATTTAAGGGGGTTAAAGGGGAGTAAACATAAGTGGGAACGAATATTTTTCCCCGAACCCTCATGAAGATGGATGTGAGACTCAGTCCAAGACCTCCCTAGTTAGAAAATAAAGCTACACCGTATCCATATGATTGTGCGTAAAATGACCTCGTCAGGACAGGACACTATTGACTTTTCTTTCATCATCGTAATAATGATCTCATTTTCACGCCAGCTTTTTGTTGCCGGTAAGCGCAACGTCGCAGTTCCTCCTTTCCTTTGTTGCTTACTTACTGTAATGGTCGGAGTGTTGCGGTCCAAAGACTGTAACTGTCATTTAGGCGGGGGAAAAAATAATAGATGGCTTCACCCAAGAAAAATCGGCGTAGACCCCACTTATCTTTTCCATTTTGAACTTACTTCATCCACTGCTTGGAGAGGAAAATGGAAAAAGCTGAGGAGGCAAAATGGCCATGAATGGTTGAAAGGAAAGTGCCTAGTTGTGCAGATGATGGCACCATCTGGGGACAAAACCCCAGCATTACATCTATGCAGGCGCGCTTGCAGATCTTCAACTAAGCTCACTCTCTACAATAACTTGTTAAGATGAAGCCAAAGAATTTGACGGAGATCAAATAATGTCATGTACTCCGTACTATTATTTCATGTGGGCGATCTCGTAAATTGAAATGTTTCGATTCGTTAGAATCATACATATTTTTAAATGTTTCACCTTTTTGGACGGCTTGCTTATTAAGCCAACTACTTTCAAAGTTTCAACATCTGCTGGCTGCAATAGAACTTGATGATACGGAATCAGAGAAGAGCAATTGAACTTCCGTGGAAAATCGATGAAAAATTCGCTACCTCAAAGATTTTACATGAAGCCGTTTCAAACGAAAAATAAAAGAGACTCGTCAATAAGAAACCATTTGAATCACAATGGAAAGAAAAAGTAGGACCTTTCCAAAACATAGGATCTAGGGATAGGAATTAGTAGGTACCATGGGCGAGATGCAGCCGAACCATGGCCATGATGAATGCCTGCGAGGTGAGGGATCGATCACGAGAAAATCGGAGTACGAGGCATTCCAGGACCTTGTTGGACACCGTTAACCCTGCTTCCCACAACAGAGGTCGCAGTTGATAGCTGGATGCCTTCCCGTATCCACGAGGGGATTCGTGCTTCAAGAATGCTGCCTGCAGCCCCAGACCAAAAAAAAAAGGTTTAAAATTTTCAGATTGAACCATCTTCCTTCCTTAACAATCCATGAGAAGTTGTGAAAAGACCGTACCCTCCAGAACTGGAGTGTTTGGAGGAGAGGAGGTATTTCGATCAGACTTATTCTGCCACTGATGTTGTACTGATTCGCAACGATCAAGGAATATCCAGGTATTTAGTATAATATCCTACTGTAAAAATCAGCAAATGACCAGTTTCCAATCCGTTCACTCATCAAGAAAAAAAAATGAAATAATGATAATTGGTAAATCTCTTTGAAAAGCACAGGATAAGAATATTCATTAAGCTTCCCACAAAGTATTCAGAACAAATACAGGATCCAAGTAGCAAAGGTTCAGAGATGAAATCAGAGGTAAGGATACATCACGCAGCATGATGAGGCTCTTGCATAATTCTAGAGATGGCTTCTCCGGTAGAAAAGCTAAAAGAAAAAAAAAAGAAAATAGAGCTGGGTCACAAGCACTGTAGACAGGCCATTCGAATGTGAGGAACGAACTTCGTGAACAATACCCCTTTTGCTATCATACTACTATGATAGCAAAAACAGTATTTTCCACATCTAACAGTCCATTCCACAAAAGAAACAATAAACAATGGATGAAGAATACACTACTGAAAGAAGCGCTTCGCTCTTGAAACACGTGTCATTTATAATTGAAGGGTCTATGTTGAAAGAATTTGATGAAGATAGACATACTCTTCCAGTGGGCTTTGAGAATCTTGAGCAGTTGAGAAGCGTCCACTTCTGCCGGGTACTTAGTCAGCAGTTTGTGTAGCAACAACCGGGCATCGGGCTGAAAGAAAATCACAGAAATATATTTAAAAATTTTCAAATTTAGTAATAAGTATATAAGATGACAATAAATGTGATGAACCCACAAAGAGGAAGTTATCCTCAAAGCGATCCCCTGAGATCGGTCTGAAGACCATATTGTCCTCATTCACCTCCCTGACATGAAGCAAAAGGTGAGCACATTGCACGAGATTCAAATGAGACTACAGAGACGAAGGGACAAGAGAGATTGATACCATATGTGAGTCTGCTCATCGGTGAGGATGCGAAGGAGGAATTTCCCATCCTGATGAGGAAGTGCAGTCTGGGGGACGACAAGGAAGTCCCCCGAGGGCAACGTGAAAAACGTCACCGTCTCCCGGGCCACCGAATGGGCCGTGACGTCCAACGGACGCTGCAAGCATTCATCCACATCACATTCCTGTCCGAGACAACGGAGGAGAGTCGAAGGAAGATCGGTTTTCAACCTGTTCGGCACAGAAGTGTGCCGTGAGGCGCGGGAGGGAAGAAGGCACTTCGTAGACAGCAAATCCGATGGCGTTCAGCTTTCTCTGATGGGCGTGAGAGTCGTTGGGGCCAGGGACGTAATGTTGAGTGACCGAGACGACAACATGGCACTTGCTCAGCCCCGATCGGGGGATCTGCACCCGGAACTGCGGGTTCGTCGCCGTCGTATCTGCACCAGTTGACAGATGAGTAGAGATAAGATTCTACGGATTTCTTTGAGCCGAATCTTTTTCCGCATATTCCATGGACTAAAGACCTTTGATAGGTCGGTTTTGACTACAGTTAAATCGATAACGTGAATCAATTGAATGAGATAAGATTTACTGGGAGGTGGATACGGGCACCTACCGATGAAAGTGGGTCCCCCGCCGGCATTGTATCCGGCCCTCCATCGCCTTCTGGCCAGGACGGCCCGCCAAGGTCTCTTACTGTGAAGGGCTGGCTCAGTCATCCAGTCATCCGGCCCGATGTGAACCAAGTCCAAGTGGGTGAACGTCCGGGAGAAATCCTCAAACGACATCCTACACGATCATCAAACGCCTACATACCACGATTTACTCCGACGAGAATTGTGGGAACGATTCAACAGCGACTGCCTTCTTTCATTGAAACCATGACATACGCCTTTACGGATGGATACGATAAGGTTAGGCCGTACGGTCCAACAGAATCATTGCTTTCTTTTGTGTTTTAATCAGATTCAACCAAAATCCATTCTCATCCTACCTCTTAACCGTGCAACTGCGAATATCGACATGTACCGCAAATAAATACCTCTGCTTCGTCGGCTGCCTACAAAGTAGGGAAGCTATTAATAGACCCAGACGGGATGGGACTATGGGCCCGGCCCATTCATCATCTTTACGTAAGAAGGCCCACGAATTGCTAGAAGGGACGGATGGGAAAGAAGCATGCGAACCAGAATTCGCCATCGTTGCGCACTCGTCCAGCGAGGAGTTCCTTGTCTCGATCGGAGAGGGAGTCCCATTCCCAGGAATTAGGGGACCACGGACCAGTCCATTCCCCCTTTCCCCCCGGACTCCTCAATCGGACCAGAGGGACTTCCCCCAGATGCCCCGTTCGTACCCGGGCCAAACCCGTGACGCTGTAGGCCTGCTGTGTCAAGAGTCCGTGCCTCAGGCGCAGCGGCCTCCTCTCCTTCTCCTGCATCATACACCCCACACACAATCAACACTATTTCATCCCACATTCGTTCAACGCGTTGAACATGACCCAGCCCAATGAAAGGCGAGGGGCATTGCTAGCAAAGACGGGCTCTGAATGCCGGATCGAAGAGATTCCACGACTCATTGAAAATATAAATGAAATCGATCCACGCATTTTATTGCCGATGAAACTGCGATCTTGTCTGGAACGCTCGTGCCAGATCCGTGGAAGAGAACGCCATCCGTATCAGCATCTGAGTACATGCACATCTATTCGGTTCCTATGGTTTCTCTCACGATGGAATCGAGTCGAAAGAGCACGCAAAAAATGTCCACGATAGGCAAGTCCTTTCGAATACGTTCAATGACAAGCAGTTTTCGTGAAGTGTTAACAACTCGGCCTTTAGTACTAGGAAATCCACTCTAGAGACTACTTGCAAAGAAGGAAAATTCACAGAAGAATCTCTTCCTCGACTTATCTTCCTTCCTCGTCTAACTTGGGCAGTTAGACGAGGAAAGGAGTACTATCGATCTGATATCTGATCTAACTGGAGCTCTTCCCTTCAGTGAATCGTTTTCCTTTGAATCCAATTTGTCTGCCACAAAGCAACGGTCATGGAAAATAGATACAGTACGTATGAATTGCCTTTTGTCATTTTTTATCGCTAAGGATCGGATTTTCATGCTCCAACATGATTCTCCTGCTTTGTTCTCTTTGTACTTCAAAATCGGCGACGCAACTCTTTCTCCTCTAGAGCCACCGTGCAAATCCAATCGGGCGCATTATAACATATTTGGACGACCGAGAATACATGCGGTGTTTCACGAGCAGACGAGCACATTTATAAATAGGCCAATTGAGTGCTTGTAATTGAGAGAGGCATTTTCGCTATTATTTCTTCTCTATCGGGCACGAATGACGACAGCCTGTCAGTGGGCGGATACGCGATGCCAGTCACCGAGGGCGTGGGGGGGCACTAAGTGGGTTCGAGATCCCCAGTCTGCACGCAAGCTTTCATCAGCCTTCACCGGGGGAAGTGACGGTGAAAGCCGACTCGGATCGCGAGAGCACTCGGTCTCGGGCGAGGACGAGAGAGCCATGTCAAATTAACGGCGAGTTGCACCGTTGCTACAAGGCTGTTTCGGACATTCACGCTAGAGTCGTGTCCGAGGCACCCTTCTCTGTGCTTTGCAGAGAAACAATACTGAAACGTGCCTGTGAGAACAGGTCACTATTGGATCCTTCGGCAGTTTTATAGAGTACAGTTTCCAGAGTCCACATTCACTGGATTTCCGATCTTCAAGTCCTTTGGAGGACTCGCAAGTCTCTTCCAACAAGTCTTTTATTGATTAGGCTGAGACAACTACACAATCAATGCTCAATTTTTGGTTTTCGCAGAAAGGAGAGAAGAGTAAAAAAAGAGAACAAGTTAGGAGGAAAAAAAAAAGTCCTGACAGGAGACGGCAGAGTCGTGGAGGTGTCAGTAATTCGGTTTTTTTTTGTGCAAGATGTGTGCGAGCATATATTGAATATCCTTCAAATTTTTCTGCAGATTTCTAGGAAAGTGACAATCGGCTTATTGTTTATTCGACGAATAATCCCGTTCAACTATCGACCATGTGGAGATTGACTTCTTTTCTGCGAGGTAAAATGGAATTCGGCCAGATGGCAATCAATCTTTTGTCGGAACCGTGTTTTGCGCCAAGAGATTCCGCTGACATCCCTGTTACCGGGCTGACAGGGTCTCAATCACCCCATGATCGAGTTCCTGTCACCCCGACACATACACAGGATGCTTGTAGTGCTGCCATCTCCTGGGGCACGGTGACTTCTCTTTATCCATTGTTTCCTTGCCGACACGGAAAATACCTGTCTCCCGGCTGAAACATCTCAGCGCATTCATCACGGTCTCACATCGCTACTGGATTATTGATTGTAGCTGTCTATTGTCGAAGTTGCGGCCAGACTGGACGAGGCAGCGACAACGTGCATTGGAAAGAATTGGAATTGGAAAGAAAGCCAAGTTCATGGATTTCACGAAAAGGGTCACTCCGACGGAATGATGGCTCCCTTAACCAGAAGCGTAAAGACTGCTGTCGTCCGAGAGTGAACCCTTTCGGATATGAATATAATGTCCGTTTGAGAGATGCTCTTCCGAAGTGACGTATACCTAAATCCGCTTGCTAGAAGAGAATAGACATCGGTAGCAAGTAAACTTAAATCTGCTTATTCAAAATAGTATTTACAAATACGCCACCGAACAGATGGTGTAAAAGGGGTCTGATCCGGTCCCTTCCCTTTGTGAAGGTTCGGTCATTATTTTATTTTCCCCTCGCCGCCGGTACGAATCCAAGCAAGAATTTCTCGCCTTGCAGCAAATGAATTATCGAGTGTGTGCTAAGTGCAGGACGTGGAGCCGCGTGGCCCGGAGCGAGAGGAAGAGGGAGATGGGAAAGAAAAGTAGGAGAGACCATGCTGAGAACGAGGGTGGAGCGCCGACGGAGTATTTGCAAACAAAAGGAAGGAAAAGAAAGGAAGAAAGGAAGAAAATGAGGAGCACTGACCACGGAGATGGAGACGACGAGGAGGGTGGAGCGAGGAACGGCGGAATTGAGCACTTGATATGCGAGGAACTTGTCCCTGGCCGCGAGGGGGAAACTCTGCACGATTCCCCCCGTCAGGTCCTGGAGGGCTTGAGTCGTGGAACCACCCAGCAATCCCTCGTACGACCCGTAGAACCTACCGGGGCGCAACGGCATGTGGTTTTCAGATTGGCATTCTTGCAGTTGCCTTGGTGGCAATCTCGGGCACAAAATGAGGAAATATAGAAACATGGGAGATTTTGCGGGCGGATCTTACTTTCCATCCGACTTTTTTTTATCATTCTTTCGTTACTCCGTTATTTCCCTGCTCCCGCAACCATTTCACCAAAGCTTATTCACGACTACCATAACTTACGATCGGCTGTAAGGAAAGGCTCAGGAAGAAAATCCTATTAAAAATTGAATGGCAAATGGATTCGATTAAAAATTTTGCCACACGAATTCCCATCTCCCCTCGAGTATCTCTCATCAATCTCAGGGGCTGAGAATGATACGCGTATCATCCGAGTATCATTCTGAACACGCCTCGATCGATCAAACGCGGATGACCGTACCCGTGATCAAAGTCTTCAGTTTAAATTAAAAATAGATTTGATGAGAATTCTACTCTATCCTACGGTGGAGTGCCTTCGAGGTCGGTTCGGTCGGTGCCGATCCCATTTCCCAGAGGGACGGCGCGAGTGTAGGAGGTCTGGAGCTCCTCCAACAAGTTCATTCCTACGAAGAATATCGGTTGAGCTGCAGGGCTGGCCCGAGGCAGCAGGGATGAAAACACTGCAATCCGTATGCATGCCCACCATCATCCTCAGATTTTCGGGGCTGCAGGCGTCTTAGTTTGGAAAATGGGGACTAGGGTGAAAATGGAGATGGAAGAGCTTCCCCAGCCTATCAAGCAAATTAACCTGTGAACCTTGGAGCAGATAGCTGTCTGTTTGAGTTCTTAGACACATTTAGCAGTGGTTGAGTGAGTCGCCGTCTTTACGAAGGTTATTTCAAAAGTTCAGAGACACTCACTAAAATTATATGGAGCAATTTCGTTTATTCGTTTATTTTCTCGTGTGAAATTTATCCCCCAACGTTCTTGCAAAATTATAGCAGAGTCCTGGCAACATTCAAATTAGATTGAAGGCACATCTCATGACAGCTCCTTGACTTTTGCCAGTATGTCCATTTGTTGTCTATATGGTCGTTCGAGTTTGCAAATCTGGTCACTCGCAATGATGCGCTACCGCCGCACCCCCCCCCCCCCCCCTCCCACCGAATAAATTAACATGAGCACATTGATCTCTTTCTGAGCGAGAATATAACCTTCAATCGTCTAAATCCCGAATTGAGACCGGACCTCCCGTTCCAGTTGATGACCAGGCATAGCTTCAGGCAATCCCAATTCACATCCTTCAGATTATTATCTAGAAAAACAAGATCCTGAAGTATGATTGCTTTCTAACTGGGACTTCTCGTGGAAAAAGCCTCTTACCTACCCATCAGAACGACTGAGTTTCATTAAAATACCATGCCGTAGGTGTCCCAAATAGAAGAAAGGGAGTTTCCGGACTCTCAAAAAGATTCTCGTACTTGAGGTGGGTCATCCGTTCACTACCTTTTTCTCAAGGATCTTTCCCTTTTTCCCTTCGCTTCCACCTTCTCTTCATCAATATGTGGTATTCTTCGCCTCCCCTTGTGCTAGAAGGCGTTTTATTCCTTTCATAGATAGGCACGCATTAATACAAAGGTCCAATGATTCTTCCCCCTCTTGACCGCTATAGGGCGATTCCTGCACTGTCATTTAGATAAAGAAGCCGTTAGGCATTAAAATGCCCGAAGGTTAAAAGCAGCTGGATGAGTTAGCTAAAGAGATAAAGTGGCTATTTCGGGAAAGAAAAAAACCTAAGAATCACACTTGTGCTAGAATGATAAGAAGAATCACACTTAACTAAAAGATGTAACGAAAAGCCCTTGAGTATAAAAAAAAGTGAGAATCGGGACTTTTTGGGAAAATATTTCCCTACTTTCCAAGATTATTTCGTAAATTACGACATATTCAGCCACCATGAAGAATTGCGGCACATTAACCCTCTAGTTCATGGATCGTGACTCCAAAGAGAGGCATCATTCATGCGAAACTGTTCTCATCCCAAACATACGTCCGCCTCGCATGAGCTGCCGACGTGAGAAGGATCGACCTCGAGAATGATTGGGTTTATTACGATCGAGGTTGCACACTCACTTGGCATACGCCTTCTCGAGGAGGGAGGGCCAGAATTCGTTGGGATCGGGGGAATGAAGATGGACGAGCCTGCCCTTGTAGGTCGGCAACCTGTCGTCCACGACCACTTCCACCCAGTCGCCGAAGTGCCAGATTCGGAACCTTCGATAATAAAAAATACACAACATTGTCCCACTTGACCCCGAAGCAAATTACAGGCTCCCTCAGAGGCCTCATATTATCTACTCCGTAATGAGCGGAATATATCGAGGATCGATGATGCGTAACCTCAGCCTATCGAGCTACGGCCTACGTGTGTAGACCGCGGTTATACTTAATGGAAGCGCCTCACGTCGAAATTCCATCTCGGTTTGCAATCTCCATCTGTGTCTGTCAGGGGGGCTGATGAGGGATCATAAATCACGAATTCCCGCGGTCGAATCAACAGTCGATCCATCCTAAGTCGAACCACAAGTGAGGAACGGGCCTGTCACTCGGTTACCAGAACCTGTTACCTCCCGCTGACAACTTTCAACCTCAAACTCTTTTTTCTTGTCGCGCCGATTTCACTCCCGTTCTCGCATTTCACCTGTCCTCATTTCCATGGCAAGGACCAGGAAGTTACCCGAAAACGTGAAGACCGATTAAATGTGTTCCCACGGTCCATGTCACCCAACAGTTTAACGGTTTAACCCGTTCTTCCCTCCCTCTTTTCCACGCAAGCACACGGGAGGAAATCCCCAGACAGGATTACGTGCAAATTCCTTGGGAATACCCACCTGTTCGACTCATCGGCTTTGTCGCTTTCATTAATGAACTTCATAGAAACTCATCTAATTGGGTAGATTTAAGGATGAAAGGAGATTAGAATCACGGCTCTAAAATTAAGCATGACCTTTTGTCACATACTTTTAATCCCGTATTGCATTGTCACGTGGCTCCCCAACGATTTGGACGAGACTCAGGAAGTCCTTTAAAGATGTCTATCATCGTAGACCAAATGATTTAGAGTAGAGAAAAGAACCTGAAGAGGCCGCAGTAGGTATGGTCGAAAGCCTGGTCAGGAGGAATGACCCGCTCCAAGAGACGTGGGGTCAGGGTCAAGGTCGCCACGGCTCCCATCAGCCACGGGTCACCCAGGTCACCCAATTCCAATTCCAATCGACCCGACCCATTCATGAATTCCGGGCTCGCCGACAACTCCTGCTCCTCGGACACCAACACACGATACCACATCAAACGACTTCATTCCAGAGAGCCCTGATTAAAGTCACTCGATTGGACTCTTTATCGCAACAGAATAATTACAAAGAGAGGGACAAACAGAGATTAGCAGTTGAAGCGTTCGCGAAGTCCTTGGAGACGAACACGAATACAAATCATCATCAGATGTCCAAAAACGCTTCCCCTCCTCATGAGACCCTTCTTTTTTCCTCTTGTAAAATTTCACCACAATTAAGGAGATAAGCCTAGCTCATCAAACGCGTAAGCGGCGAGGAAACAAACGAATGGAAGAATACGGCAATACGAGCGGCCTCTTTCTCGGCGAAAGGTTCACGAAGACACCCGGGGTATTATGGGCATTCCTACTCAAGCGGCTTCAATTAGGAATGAAAAATGGAGAGAAGAAGCAGTGAAACCCACCGTGGGCCTCTTCCATATGATGGGATGGAGATGAGGCCTCTTCTCGCGGTACAGGGCCCGTGCATTGGCCGGGAAATCCGGGTCCTCATAGAGAACCTTCCTCTCTCGACAGAGCCTCTTGAGCACCGAATATTGAGAGCTTCGAACGCCTCCTCCCTTTTCCAATGTCCAGTACCTGAGAAGGCAAAAAATGAAACCTTAAGGGCTGGCACGTACGACGTCCCTAATTGTGGGAAGGGAATCGGCGAGCACAGCCGGCTGGAGTGCAATGAACTGGATCCCCTCTCCCATTGTCGATATCGTCATCATGAAGATGCCATGGGGATAATGATAATTATCTTTCACCGATCGAAGGAAACCTGCTCCTAGGAGGGAAGCTTTGCGACAGGACATTGGGATGGTTCGACCTCGCGCTAGGATGAAAAAAATTTCATGTGCCGCGACGGGAAGCTTTCGACAATTGTTTCGAGAACAGCAGCAGGAAGACATCCATCACACCGTTGAAGTTCTTGAAGAAGGAAATGCATGCGGAGGAATGCAAGGACCTACCCCGAAGAATCGAGGGACGCGTGTTTTTGAGACTGTGGGATGGTGAACGAAGCAGGAAGAGCAAGACACCCGGGTTTTTGCTCCTGGATCGACGGAATCAAACCCATGGCTTTCAACAGGCACGCATCACAACGAGACCGAGAGCAAGAACAAGAGCAGGAAAGACCGAAGCTCAACATGACCATGATGGGAATGCCATGACTCTTCAACGACCGGCTTCTATCCTATCCATTTCCCACTGTGGGAAACAAGAGGGAAAAAATGAACCGTAGCATGAGACTGAGAAAGGAAGGCGAGAGAAAGAAGAAAAAAATACCGCGATGAAACCGGATATGACGTCATCCATCACCACCCCCAGGTACCAGACTACGAACCATTAATGCCAATTCACGAGGGAATTATTTTCCTTCCTGTCTTCCTCGCAGTTCCCCATCTGGTAGCCAAAGGTAGGTAGAAGTCACTCGACCGTCTCCTCCTCCTCATCAAAGGGGAATCTGAAGACCGACACTGTTCCCATAGAAATCGGACCTCGACCGAACCTTCGAGACACGACCGTACGAACGAAGATGCAGTATGACAAGAGGAGACTCTACGAGGGGTGTCAAGGAATGCAAGCACACTTGTGCCTCTCCGATGTCAAAACAATCATAAGAATGATGAATTCCACAGCGACTTCGTTCTTCTTTTTCCCAAGGATCGGGATGGGTTTGCAGGACCAAAGACGTAAGGCACCAAAACATTCAAGGAACTCGGGCATAACCAAGCGATCACAGGCTGTCTGTTACGTCGTGGCCATTCTAAATACCATTCCAGTCGCAAGAATCATCTTCATTCCAGGCATCTACCGGGAATCGTTTCCACGGGACGACTGAGACGTCCATCAAGCTGCACGTGCATACCACGTGGTTCAATGTCCCCCCGGCAGGAAAGTGCGTGACATTGAATACTTTTTGCCTGGGATCCGCTAGATGGACGACCCACAGTGCCATCCACGTGAGTATGGCACCCTGGGAATGGATGGAATCCGACGCTAGTGCCGCCTTTGTATCCTCGTTGCATTCATTGCGAGCAGTCCCTCGCACGAAAGTCAGCTTCATGATCGTACAGGGGCCAGTAAGACACACTTGTTGAAGAATTTCTCTAGCCAGACTCTTCAAACCGTGCATTTACGGCGTCGCCACTCGACGTGGTCGTGCAAGACCTGATTAGGACTCATGAGGTGCAATTTAACGTCACTACAGGGGCTCATGATACAACGGAGATTTTCATGGATAAGCAAGACCGAAGCACTTCTGAATCCAGGTTTCCACTGCAGAGAAACTTAAAAAAAATAAGATTCTGCAACAATTCCTACCAAATGGTGTAACAGGGATTCAACCAAAAGGTTAAGTGCTTCCACATCCTCTCAGTGCTGCCATGTAAGTCCAGACAAGGGAATTAGCCATTCCAACACGCCAAGGATAAAAAGAAGTCGAACTCTTCCTGATGACATGCGGGCCATGTATTCTGTTTGCCAAGCTATAAATCTTTGGCATATTCTGATTTCCCTCGTCCAAGTCGTAAATCGATTGAACTCAATGAGATTTTATGACCGCTTTAACCGTTTATTCGACATATGACTGAGAGTTCATGAAAATAACTCATATTTTATTTGCCGACACATTACATGCTATACTCCACGTAAAAATTGAGGAAAAAATTTTTTTTCGACCCACATCTGTGCAATAACGGGGGCGAAATCATTATCCCATTGTTCGTCACAGGTCATTGCCTGTAGTAAGGTGGCAGTGGAACAATAATTCCCCGTTGCCACCAGTGGGATATTACTTTCCCAGTGAACTATAAAGGGTTAATACAAATTCCAAGTAATGTATAAGCAGGATAATGTGAACTCCAGCCACCACTGCAGCACAAGCCCTCACCTTATTTATTGCAGTAACGGGCTGTAATTATATTTGAAGGAGCTGAAATTACAAATTACTACTAATTAAATTACAAATTTATAATAGGAACGCTTTACATGCTCTGGACTTTTACTTGCAATTATCACTTCTATTGCGTTCTTGAACTAATTTCTAATAGGTGAAGAGAAAAGTGAGGAAATTACACTTTACATTAATTACTTCAATACATTCATCATTAAGCTTGATGATGAATGCATTAAAGAGAATGAGCTCTGGCGACTCTCAGCCGACAGGCAACGATGTAATTTGGCCAGACATTAACTGTTTGAACAGCGATTTTGACGTCTATTGCTCGGCCTTGACTGGGGACCTTTTAGGGGCATTTCTCATTCATCTGTCAGGCTTTTGGTAGAATTTACCCGGATGACCAAAAAAAAGTTCCCATCTTTCCACGGTTGAAGACGGAACACAACACGAATAATTGGCGGGAAATTAACTAAATTCCATATTTAAAACGTTCAAAGGGTTTCAAGAGAACTTCAATGAAATTGGTTGCTTAGAACTCGAATAAGGGCAATGTGAAACGAACGAGTGCCTGCGCCTGCCGGCTCAGCTCAAATGAGCTGGGGCACATCTCATCGCCCGAAGAGAAAAAAGCTCTTGAAAATCCTCAGACCCAGACAAAATAAAACCCATAGGACTTGTACGTGTACATGCCACCCAGGTCTTGGGAGGTTAAAGATAAAATTTACTGACATTTTCGCGAAACCACCTACACATGTTGGATGCGATCAAAATTAAAATTCCTGCAATTTCTGACATACAGGGTGACCACGAAGTGGCGGATCAGTTTAGCATACAGATTGTCTGATGACCCATTTCTTTTATGAGTGACCAAAGCCCACACACCATACAGTATTGAAGAGCGACTTGTGGCCTCCGTGTGGATGCACAAACAAACCAGGACCAACCAGAAGGTCCTGGGCATCAGACATGCTTTTCAGTCACGTCGCAGCATTCACAGCGACTGAAGGATGCTGTGACTGCCGCTATGGCAGATGTCACACCTGACATGCTGTGGAAAATAAACGTCCCGAAGAACATGGAGATCCTTTCAAGCGTATAAGAAATGGAGTGGTGATCATCCAAATTATGACCGAAAATGATTAAAGTGATACCCCACTTCGTGGTCACCCTTTATAATGTTTATCAGCACTCATGTTAATTTAGGAACTTTTTTGGACCACCCGCGTATACGCTATGGTAAAGTTAAATCAGTGCGTGGGCCTGTAATTTTCCCGTAATTTGTGGCTGCGAAGTAATACAATTTCATGATCCATAACAACCTATGTATAATTGGTCCCGTAAAGTAGAGATAAATGTATGCCAAGTACAATCGATAGTAATTTGTAATTTAATTCAATGACGCCTAAATTGACTTCAGTGATCTTATAATTTATGGCTCTCCATTGTCAAACCTTCTATCAAAAGTTTCTTTAATTCATCGAACGTTCTTCCTTTTGCAACATGACATAAGTCTCCCACTAGTGAAGTGCAGTCGTAAGACAACTTCAAAAGAGCCGACAACCGGCCTCCAACAATACGCAGTTTATGGATCCAATGTAACGGCAAATCCATGAATTTTTTCACTCGTGCGACAGGCAAACATCACACCTTCTATCATCCATCTCACAAGTGGCCCGACGAACGTCAACGCACAAAGAGACGACGGCTGATTTAACGAATTCTGTTCCAGATGTCGCGGTTAACACGTGACGGGAGAGCAGGTATTTCAAGCTCCATTGCCCGGGCGACATGTGGTCCCGAGCGATCCAGAGCCGGATCATCGAAAGGAAAAAAGAAAAAAAAAGGAGTAAACCTGGAGAAGTCACTGGAAGTGGCATCGCTGGGCCTGGGCGAGGGAGGACCCGCAAAGAGGTGAAATCGACGCCGATGGAACCGTCGATGGAAGACGTCTCGACGACGAGACGCCGAATAAGTCATTCAGAATCACGTCCGACCGCCAGAACGGGACTGAGTGCGTGCGAGTACGAGGACGCGGGAAGAGGAAGAGGAAGAGAGAAAGCCCCCGGGCACGAGGTCAAAGGTCATCTCGTCTCTCACCTGGAGAGAGTGGACTGCTTGTCCTCTTGTTTGAGGCTTTCGCGATGGTGAAGACCGAGCCACTGTCTCATGACTCACTCCCCCTCTGCGTCTTCATTCCAGCTGAGAAAACAGAAAATAAATAAAATAAAGCACTGGAATCTCATTCGAGGCAATTTGCAACGGGCATCAATGGAATTTATTATGAACTTGATCGTGGGAAACATTTCTCATCCCAGTCGTTCGACGACGACGGTGTTACGTTTGTACTTCGTGAGGGTGTTTAAAAGCAATTCGTGAAATCCGGAATAATTGTCAATATAGCCACTCCCTATCGACGAAACGAGGGTAAAAACGTCACGAATTTCATTTAAATTCCTTACGTCCCCATTCATGTCCGTTGTACAGCGCTGCCTAGCAGAATAAAGGCCTTGCAACGTATTGGGCACCCTCTCAAGTCTTTCCGGTCAATTCAAAAGGGTATCACGATGGTGACTTGTACTTTGGTGGGCCAGATGCAGTTCCGTTCCATTTGAGGAAGAGGACTACACATACAGTTCACATACTCTTATAGTTTGAGAGACTCGGCAAGAGAAAGAGCGAGAGCAGCTGCAGCAGTGTATAGTGATGTGCATGGAAGCAATGGCAAAAATTATTTGCGGCGGATTAGGGAAGACAAACGAGAATGGAATTCGCTGCATCACCTTCGTGTATACCATTCCAGGACAATGTCCTTTTTCTCCCTCTTCTCTCTATCCCCTTCTTCCCTCCCCTTTTCTTTTTCGCCGTCCACGACGTCGTTCGATGTTGTACTTGCAAATCCTTGTGTACGACAGGGTGGGAAGCCGAGCTCAAAGAGGAAAGAGAATGAATGGAGAAAAGAAAGTGAGCCCGAGGAGGACTCCATCGCCCGGCGTGCAGCATACCAAGCAAGCAAGGAGAAGCCGAGAGGGTCAATGCCTTGCCAAGAGGAGTCACGGAAAAAGGAAGGAAAAAAAAAGAGAGGCGTTCATCACGGTCCACTTCCGTCTTTTCCTTCACTCCACCTTCCATAGTCTTCGCAGACACGAAAACAAACCTCCTCCCTCCTAATTATGAAACAACGGTGAAGGCGATGTTGTGCCCCGTTTTGCACCTCGGGAGTACCTCACAAGGATCGGCAGAGAGGACGCCAAAGGGAATGGATCGAGGTTATGAAATATTGATGGGGCAGGGTCTTTAGGAAGTTGTTTGGTGTGTCTCGTGACAAACCACTTTGTTATCGGAGGGGATGAGGCGTGAAAGAAAACAAACATCTCTCTTTTGTCTACGTTTTCACTGACTATCCCTCGATGTGCCATGTTTCCAGACTCTCTTACGTCACCGGGTACTGCAGCGATCCATTATCCCCTTTTTTATGCCATTGATAAAGAACTGCCGGTTGACCACAGGCTGGAATTCTGCAGAAATTAGTACTTTTAATCTTCACGTCGTCTCATCGTCGGTTCGGTGTGTAACTAATGATAGGCTTGCAGGCGGAGCTGACAGGCGTAATGCATTTCTACGAGTGACCGCAAAGCGAGACGGCGTGGGAGAAGCATCACGGACCGACGTCTGTATATAAACCCGCCCTCTCGACGACGAGAAGGAACGCATGCATGCATGCAAGAGATGCGTGCGTCCGAGTCTCCCTCCGAGGCAGGGGCCCCATAATGATCCTCCCATATGACAGGGAAGGCCATACTCGCATGTGGGGCTCGAATAGACTTCCATGTCCAGGAAAATGACGGAGGGACGGGGAGGTTCGGCCTCGAGAGCGAGAGGACAATGCTCGAAAGAACGCCTCAAGGCCAGGCCATCTCCATGCGCCCCTCTTTCGCACTCCGAAATCACTTCCGCCATTGATGCCATTATAATCTCGTGCCCAAGCCATGCTAAGCCCATTCACATAACATGCACGTGGCTTTGTGCGCGTAAGGTGTGGGCGGTGAAATCTCTTTTCAGGTCACTCTTTCTCCTCGTGATGCTCTTCCACTCGTTGATTTATGAACCTTGGGAGCTTTCAATTACGGAACTCTTCATGCATGGAAAATTGCATGCAATGCATGATT